GCGAGAGGCACTGGTAAACTGAGCGGCAATCGCCGTGCCACCACGAGCTAGGTCGGCCTGTACGCGTATCAACACGCTCGTTACTCGATGCAACGCTCATATCCCGATGCAAATTTTCCGAGCAAATCCTGCTCATAACCCGAAAAACTCGTAACCAGGGACGCTCGTAATCCGAGATGCCACTGTACTCAAAACACTGTGATAAAATCACAGAAGGATTAGAAGAAAATAAAATGCAGATGTTTAAATACATTATCATTTGATAAGTGTGACCTTGGAGTAATCACTCATACAATGATATCAGTAGGAATAATGGGTAGAGTAGGGTGATGAGTTTTAAATTTTGTCAGAATGCAAAGAATAATAGTCAAACAAAATCAGTCCAAGCATAGTGAAAAGCTCTGTGCATCAGGCCAAAGTCCTTGCAACCGCTGTTTTCTGTGGGAGCCCTGTCGACTCCCTGAAGCTGTCAAAACCGATATGTGCTATATTAGTTTCGGGTCATCACTCATGAGTTTTTATGCCTACCGGGAACCACGAGCCAGAACCTGGTCCCCTCAGGGAAGTGCAGGGAGCAATGACCTATGAGCACTTTACATTTAAAGTACAGTGCATCCTTCTTCTAACGAACCCCACTCTATCGAATTCCCGAATGATCCGAACAAATTGAATTCGGTACTAAATGTTCAATGGAACATACTAATGTTTGATTAAGTGAGGATTGTTCGTCCAAGCGATCACTGAGACAGAGCTGTCATAAGGCACTGTCATCAAAGATGATTCAGCAAAATGTAAACAGTTGTACAGTATTATATTTTGCTTTTAATTCGTTGGTCGCTTCGACCTTGGTTCCATCCATTCTTTTGCTTCCTTTCCCTGTGGGCGTGGTTCGCACTGCTTCCCCCCCCCCCTCCACCTCCTCTTGCTTCTAGCTCCTAAACTCTAAGGGGCTTCTGAGATGGGAGGGGTTTAGCTCGGGATGAGGCTTGAATGGCTTTGGGGGCTACCCCTTCTGATTCAGGTGCGGAGGTGGATGAGCCCGTTTTTCCCGCTATCGCTTTTGGGTCGACCCAGCCAACTCTATTCTCGGATGCTTTTTCCCTGGACTCTACATTTTCTTCAGAGGTGGTGGGCATGGAAGAGAGCTCTGCCATGGGATCTGTGTTGGGGGTTCCTGGGGCTCAGGGGAAGTCCGCTTAGAGTACTTTGGCTCCTTTTGATCCAGCTTGGGCCCTTGTACCTCCTGGGCAGGTATTGTTGCTACAAGGGAGGGGGTTTTCATACCCTGCTTCCCTGTATGCATTGAGTTGGGAGTAGCTCCTCTCTGTGTTTGTTTCCGGGCGCCTTTGGGTTCCTTGGATTTGTCTTTCCAGAGGTTTTCTTCCTCTTGAATTTTCCGTGGGGAGGTTCGGGCATGTACCTCCTGCGAGACCTGGTTTACGCCTCTGTGATGGATCTGGCTTCGTTTGAATTCGGTTCTTCCCTGTATTGGGTGTGTTGAGGTTCTGGAGTCTTCCTGGATGGCAGTCTGCCCCTTTTTCTTTCATGTAGCTTGGTGTGACTTTTGTATCCACGTGCTTGAATGGCAGGTGGTTTCTTCAGTGTTGCAGGTATTCTTGGGGGCTCGCTCGAGTTCATCAATGAGTGCCTTTTTGCTCCTGCTTTCTTGTGATGTGGATCTGGTGCTTTTGCCTGCTCAGGTATCTACTCTTTCGGCTGCCTTAGCACCCGAGGACCTGCAGACTCGCGGTCATTTGGCCTCAGTCTGGGGCTTCCTTGGTCTTCTGGAGCTTTCTTCGGGTTGGCTTTCGGAGGATGTAGGAGCATTGAGTGAAGGACCGTTAGCTGGGGTTCTGGTTTTGGCTGCTGTGGCATCATCTGCCTTGCTGAGCTGTTTGCGCCGATCCTCCGCGAGGCGGTCTCCGTGTTTTTCTCCTCTCGCCTTGCGTGTCGGCTGGCCATGCTGGCTCTGTCTTTGGATTCGGTTTGGGCTCTGGCTCTGCAGTCTTCTCTGCCATGATGTTTGCTGTTGTTCACGGAGGATGTTATTGCCCAGTTCTGTTGGCGGCTTCGGCCAGTTGTCGTCCTATTTCGGACTTGTTGGTGCTCTAGGGGGCCGTTCCCAGTCCTCTTGGTTGGGTCATGCTAGGGTTCGGGCCTCGCTTGATCGGAGTAAGCCTCTGGTGCCAGTTTCTGTATCAGTGGGTTCCCCAGGGCCTTCATCATCTGGTCAGTGTGGTTTTTGCTCTGTGCGGTGGTTGGCTTCTCAAGGTTTGCGTTTGCCCTTTCGCGGGGTGCCCCATTGACGGGGTGATGGGGGGGGGTGAGGGAGGTTTGCTCTTTTTGCCCGTGCTTGGTCCCACGATTCCTGGGCATTTCAAGTCATTTCTTCCGGCCTAGGGTGTTCCTTTGAGAGTCAGGTCTCGGAGGTGCAGCCTTCTTCCCCATCCCTGTCAGGTCATTTCGAAGTGGCTTCGCTTGGATGTGGTCGAAATGGCCTCGTCTATCTAGTGGGTTCCCATTTTCCAGTTCCGAAATGGGACTGTGCAGATTTCTGGTACATTCTGGGCTTGTCTTGTCTGAACTGGTGGATTCCTTGCCCTTTTTTTCTTCAGATGACTATGTTGTCTCAGGTCCGGCTCTTCTTCGAGCCGTGCGCTTGGATGATTTCCCTGGACATCCGGGCCACTTATTGGTATGTCCCGATTCATCCTGGGGTCATTGATTGATTGGGGTTCAAGGTGGGGCGACCAGCTTCCCACTTCTGTTGTCTTCTGGCTTGGATCTGGCACCTCGCATTTTCATGCACTTCACTCAGGTCATGGTGGCTCTTCTGAGTCTGCTACGTATTTGGGTTTGGTCTACCTTGACGACTGATTTGTGTGGGCTCCCAGCCAATCTGCTTGTCTGGTAGCCAGGAGACTGGTTCTTTCCCAGCTTGCCAGATTCAGGTTCCTGGTAAACTGGTGGGAGTCCCAGTTGGTTCAGTTTTGGACTTGGCTGGACTTTGTATAGAATTTTGGGACTGTGTCCCTTTCTCTCCCTTCCTCAGCTCTGCTCTGGATGCAGGCCCACCTTCAGCTGTGTTTGAGGGGGGGACCCGGGTCACTCGGCGGTTGCTCGAGCATCTGTGCGGGAGTCTGAACTTTGCTCTGGTGGTTTCTCCACTGGGCAGAGCTTGGCTTCGGAGGCTGTTCTGGTTATTCGGAGCAGCCTCTTTCACCGCTCTCGCGATCACTGGGTTTGATCCCTGGTGCCCTTGCGGCAGTTGCTGCGTCACTGGTTTCCTCTTAGAGTATTTTTGGGTTCTGTGCCATGGTGCCTCCCTCTTCTCTCGCTTGATATGTTCACAGATGCTTCGTCTCTCGGTAGGGGTTTTGTGCCGAGTGCTCACCAGTCTGACCAGGGTCGTTGAGGGCTGTTCTTACATCAGGCTCACAGCACAGTGCAAGAGTTTGCAGCGGTGTGGCAGGAGTTGCACCGGATTCGGTGTCCATGGGGTTTGGTGCTCTGGCTCCATTAGGTCTGCTTCCCCATGGTTCATTGTCTAAACCATAGGGGGATCCCTTCAATCCGTGGCTCTTTGGGGCTGGTCATTTCGGATGGCTCTTCTGCTGAATTCTCGGGGTTTAGCTCTCCTCGCTGTTCTTGTTCAGGGAGTGTCAAACATTTTGGCAGATGGTCTGTCATGCTTCATTCTTCTTTCTATGTAGTAGATGGTCGACGTCGCCTCCTTCCTTGGCTTTGCTGGATGTATGGGCACCCAGAGTGGGGACTTCTTCGCGTTGGCATGGTCTTGGTGTCTCCCATTGTATGTGGCACCATTCTTCGACTTCGAGGCTGATGCGGTAGATGCTTTTCAGCAGGACTGGTCGTGAAGGGGGTTCCTGTACCTCTTTTCCCTAGTCCAGCTGTTGGTAAAGGTCCTAGCTCACTTGGAGGCCTATTGGGGAAAGGTGATTCTCCTGGTTCCATGGTGGCCTGCCCAGCCATGGTTTCAGGTACTGCTTGCTCGGTGTTTGAACCCTGGGCGTTTTTTTTTTCCCCCACAGATTGGGCCAATGAGTTACCTCGCTGGTTCGCTTTACTGCTCTGCTCTACATGTCTGGTCTTTCTAACGTGTGTGTGTGTATTGCCATTTAATGGTGATCAGGTGGTTTATTTGATGGTGTCCCACCTGCGGTCTTCTTCTCAGCAGCAGTATGAAGTTTCTTCGCGGTCTTTCTCTTTCTTTCTCTTTGAAGGTTTTTGTCGATTTCTGACCTGGTTGTTTTGTCCTTTCTCTCTTGTCTTTTTCTGGATCAGCATCTCATGCCTAATACTATTATTTTTTCTTGTGTGGCGTTGACGGAGCCGCTTCAGCTTGCGTTCGGGGTAGATGTTATTTCCACTCCATTCCGCAAGTTTTTCATGTGTAATTTTTCACCTCCGGTCTGCTCATGCGCTGGCTGAGCCTTCTTAATCTTTGGATTGTGTTCATTCTTTTCTTTCTTTCTTCTTGTTTTGTTGTGGCCCCTTCGGTTCGTGATTGCTTTTGGGATGCCATGTTTTTGTTGGCAATTCAGTCTTACAATAATGGTACTGTATACTACTTTAGTTAAAAACTTTGATGTTGAAATTGAGATGCAAGCTTGGAACTGTTTAACCACTGTGCTGCGCCAATCGAGAAATCTCGTTCTGAGAGTTGTACTATTTTTTTGTTTAATTAGGTTATATTTTTAATGTTTTTTAATGTTTTCATCACTCTTTGTGTTTTGAAATGAAAATGGTTGAGCTTGGAAACATTTTGACATTAACTTCACCTGAATATTTATAAAAACAACAAAAATATGTCTTTAACAAATGCACTATGAAGTTTTTGCTAAAAACAGGTGCGCAGTGCAGGAGTTAACCATTCTCATCACTCATTTGAACATGTTGGCTATCACATTAAATGTTATTTTGCACTGTACACTTTTTTTTCTTTACTGTGAATTATTAACAGTTAGTTATTCTGACAGCCTGTCTCTGAGCACTGAGGATGCTGCTGGACCTTTACCTACTGCAAAAGTGGCAGCAAGGGCTTCTCCTCCAGAAACTAATGTATCTCCTACTGCCAAGGAGAACGGACCAAAGGGGACAGTGGAAGAAGGCACTTGGAGGAGAGCAAAAGTTGTTTGTGATTATGATGCAACCAACAGAGATGAACTGAGTCTTATGATGAATGAGGTGGGTTGTGTTTTATTGATTTATTATGTGCTTGTGTAATGAATCTATTCATTAAGATGCATTAAGTGTTAAATTGATCAGATTGCTAAAATTCTGGGTTGGTGTTTCTGTAACATCTTCATAGTCTCTTCTGCTCAAATGATTTTTTACATATTATTTATGTTGTATAAAGTGTCCATGTACAGTATATGCAAGTAAAAGTACAATAAATAATTTATTTATATAAAATATTGTACTGTACATTTGAAAACATGATACAATGGAGAACTTAAAGGAATACAATGCAAATTATATAAAGATGCTAATACAATGAGTGTGTCTGGCATAACTTAACATAATTAGGTAATTTATTAGTTAAATTGGTTAACACTTAATGATAAATGAGAAGTACATAAGAACATACTAACTTAAGAATGAAGGTACCTGCAGAAGGCCTATTGGTCCATACGAGGCAGCTCCTATTTATATCCACCCAATCTCATTCATATATATATATAACCTACGCTTGAAGCAATCAAGGGATCTGACATCTATTATATTACTCAGTAATTGGTTCCACAAATCAACTACCATGTTACCAAACCAGTATTTATCCAGGTCTTTCCGAAATCTGAACTTATCCAATTTATACTCATTGTTTCGTGTCCTATTTTGTGTTGATAACATATTAAGTACAGTGGTACCTCGGAATACGAGTGTCCCTGTATACGAGTTTTTCGGAATACGAACAGGATTTGCTCAGAAAATGTGCTTCGGAAGGCGAGGGTGTTGATATGCGTACAGGCCGACCTAGCGCGTGGTGGTACGGCGATCGCCTCTCAGTTCACCAGTGCCTCGTGCCCAGTGACTATCCCGCCTCAATTCTTCACCAGGATTTTCAGTGTTTTGTTGGATTTTTGGCCATTTAACCATAAAACCAGCATTGAATGTAATGAAACACCATTTTCTGGGTGAGTCCCGGAGGCTCCCCGGAGCTATCCATGGCTGATATGGATATCCTAACTATTTTGCATCAGTCGATGTAGGTGGAGTTCTAGTCTACCGGGGACCACGAGCCAGAACCTGGCCCCCTCACAGAGGCACGGGGAGCAATGGCCCATAGAAATGCACATGTGATTTGGAGCATTCTATATCTGCCATCGACCGGGACAGGCACCCAGAAAGGTAAGCCCCACAAAACAAACCCCTGTTCTGGTTAACAACGAAAATCATCAAACGAGTGGACAGAACTCCCCAAAAGAAAAACGAGCAAACAAGCATGACGTCACACAAGCCGCGCCGCATGTCTGCGCAGCTCCCCCTCCCTGAGAGGGGGAAGGGGGAGCCCCAGACCCCCGAGCCGGCGATCCACACCCCAGTTCAGAGGCTGGATATAAAAAAACGCCGACCGGAGGGCGGGAGGGATGCCGGGGAGCCTCTGGGACTCGCTCTGAAAATGGCATTTCATTACATTCAACACTGGTTTTCTGGGGGGAGCCCCTACGGCTCCCCGGAGCTACCTCACCAAAGATGGCCGGTCGGCCGAGTGGACAGCACGCTGGACTTGTGATCCTGTGGTCCTGGGTTCAATCCCAGGCGCCGGCGAGAAACAATGGGCAGAGTTTCTTTCACCCTATGCCCCTGTTACCTAGCAGTAAAATAGGTACCTGGGTGTTAGTCAGCTGTCACGGACTGCTTCCTGGGGGTGAAGGCCTGGTCGAGGACCGGGCCGCGGGGACACTAAAGCCTTGAAAGCATCTCAAGACAACCTGACCTAAGATTACCAAGAGAACCAAGGGGATTTACCCGGGAGGCGAGCGTTGCTCCACTCCTCAACACGAAGACGATACAACGAGCTGCAACTGCTGAACTAAAGCAACACAGGCCCGACTGGGCCTGTGTTGCTTACAAGATACAAGTTTGCATGTTTAGAAGATAGCGTGCAGCCAGGACCCTGTTCGACCGTCAAAATCCCCGTGCCCGAATGTCAGCCCAAGACATATTGCCGAAGACGGCAGCAAGAGCAGCAAACTTACGAATGTCATGGGCACGGGGATAGACCACAGGCTGGCTGGATTTAATAACCCTGCGGTCGACCTGAGAGACCCGAACCCACGAACAGGGAAGAAGGGAAACCGGATCAACCCAAAGCGCGTCCCCGGACACAGAAGCCGTGTTGCGCAGATAACGGCGGAGGGCCGCAACCGGACACATCACATGATGAACTCCTGGCCTGGCAAACCAAGCATCCACAACCCAAGGACCCCTCCGGAAAGCAGCAGTCTCATTCTTCGCCAGAAAAGAGGGAGACGGCTGCAAACGAACAAACCAAAGGAGCAAAAACCTCTGCGCCCGAGAAGAGCATGAAGCTCCGCCACGCGACCCCCAGAGGCTAATGCCAACAGAAAAAGAGCCTTAGCAAAACAAACCGAGGAGAGGAAAGATAGAAGAGCACTCTGTCCAAGGACCAGGAAGGCTCAGACGGCGCATGAGCAGGCCGGAGGTGAAACAACGCCCGAGACAGCTTGCAAAACGGCGCAGAAGTAACATCAATGCCAAAAGCATGCTGCATCAGCTCCGCCAGCGCCGCACGATACAAGGCGACAGTATTAGGCATCAGATAACGGTCCTGAAACAACCAAGAGAGAAAGGACAACACCACCTGAACCGAAAGCGAGGAACAACGACAAAGGGTCAAAAAGAACTGGAAGGACTGCCAGGAAACTTCATACTGCCGCCAAGAGGAAACTCACAGGTGAGAAACCAACAAGGAAGCCACCTGCTCATCATAAAAATGGTGATAAACACGAGTCAAAAACAACAAACGCGAAGACTCTCGGAGAAGAGCGAACCAGTCACGTACCGGACCGGCCCGATCTCCGGTCAAAAAACCTCCGGGTTCAGACACCGGGCAAGCAGCGCCTGAAACCATGGCTGGGCCGGCCACCATGGGGCCAAGAGGACCACTTGACCCTGGTAAGTCTCCAAGCGAGCCATGACCTGGAGCAGCAGCTGAACCGGGGGAAAGAGGTACAGGAGCCCCCACCTCGTCCAGTCCTGCAGAAAAGCGTCGATCCCGACGGCCTTGCAGTCGGGGATGGGTGCCACGTAAACCGGAAGATGCCTCGATCACGCCGACGCGAAGAAGTTCACCTCCGAGCGCCAGAATGTCCAGCAGAGCCAACTGAAGGAGTTGGCATCAACCGTCCATTCTGTGGACAGGGGAACGAACCTGGACAGGCCAACTGCCAGGACGTTGGACACCCCCCGGACGTGAACCGCCAGAAGATTTAAACCCATAGAACTCAGCAGACGAATCACCCGAAGTGACCAACCCCAAAGAGCCAAGGACCGCATCGAATCCTCTCGGTTCAGACAATGAACCACCAGGGAGCAGTCCGAATGGAGTCGGATCATCGATCCCCGGGCGACTTGAACCCTCTGAAGCGCAAACCATACTGCCGCGGTTTGGGCGGTAAATACCAAACCATACTCCCGCACCATGCTGTGGACCCGACGGAAGGACGGACCCCACCGCCCCTGGCCGGCCTGGTGAGCACTGGTCACAAAACTCCAGCCTAGAGACGACGTGTCCGTGAACACATTGAGCGAGGGTTCGGGCAGGCGCCAAAGCACTGAGCCCCGAAAAACCCGAAGAGGAAGCCGGTGACGCAGCAGCTGACACAAAGCCCCTGGGGGTCGAACCCAGCGATCACGAGAGAGGCGGAAGGGACATCCCCGAAGGAACCAGAACAGCCGACGAAGCCAAACCCGACCTGGCGGGTAGACCAACATCGCGAAGTTCAGGCTCCCGTACAAACCCTCGAGCAACCGCTGGGTGACCCGGGAGCCCCCTAGAAACAGACACCAGGCGAGACCGCAGCCGAAGGAGAGATTCCGGAGGAAGAGACAAGGAAGCGGTCCGAGAGTCCCACACAAGACCCAGCCAGGACCGAACCTGGGAGGGCACTAGATGGGACTTTCGCCAGTTCACCAGGAACCTGAAACCAGCGAGCTGGGAAAGCACCAAATCCCTGGTGAGCAGACACGCGGACTGACTGGGAGCCCAAACCAGCCAGTCGTCGAGGTAAGCCAACACCCGAACACCTAACAGACGCAGATGGGCCACCACGACCCTGGTAAGGCGTGTGAACACGTGAGGTGCCAGGTTCAACCCTAAGGGGAGACAACAAAAGCGGTAGCACCGACACCCCACAACAAAACTGAGCCAGTCCCGGAACCCCACATGAATAGGGACGTGCCAATACGCGTCCTTGAGGTCCAGGGACACCATCCAAGCGCCCGGCTCTGGGACTGCATGAGAAATCACACAGCAGACAGCAGACGACGCTACAATTACGACGTCACCTCCCTCACCAAAATAGCTCCACTCAACATACTCTTGTTGCTGTTATTACACTATATACACACACACACTGTATATACCCGTGTACATGTGTGTTCCCCATAGCGAACCACGAAGCTAGTATGGTGAGCAAAACAAGAGTGGCTGCCACACAGTGAGGCTACCTCAATTCCCTCCCTCCCTCCCTCACCAAAATTCCTCCTTCCACAATACTACATACAACGTTAATTATAACCATAATCCTGGTCACTAATTCCTGTAAATGAATAATTGACCACAAGTTTATTTTGAAAAGGAACCTAAGAAGTCGTTTGAAGATTTCTAAATGAACGAAATAATGCTGTGGTGCTGTGGATAGCGCTGTGAACATCGTGAACAGCATTGAATCACTGATATTTGAACATTGTACCCAGTCATTATCACACTCAGGCTCTTCTATAATACTATCATGGCTAAATAATACAGGTTATATATATATTTTGACATTATTAGGCGATGCTGTGGTCACACGCTGAATAGCAGTGCTGTGCGCTCATGCTGCGAGTGCCAGCCTTGGTTGCCCACTCACTACTGAGGCTCTCACACCCGGGAATGTGGACCATGATTTTTTTTATAGATGGCGTCTGTTTACAAGAGCCCTGAGGAAGCTGATGTGAACCCCATGTAGCCGCGGGAGTTTTGAATGGAACGTGAAAAATACAAATACCTGGAGGCGCGTAGCACACCCCAGACGTGGGCCTGCAGGCGCGTTGCGCAGTTAAAGGTTAACACCCATACTATAATAAATATATAAAAACAAGTGAAAAATTATCAAAAAAACATCCAAGATGAACACTGCAGTTTTCTCTCTCATATGGCAGTGTCTGTAAAGTCCTCATTGGGTGTTAACATACGGGCCCGTAACGCCTCTATGCAACCTTTCCAATCTTGTCCCACTAATTAAAACGTACATGTTTATGTTTTTCAGATTTTTTACATTGCCACAGAAGTTAATAATTTTATTATGAATTTTTGTTTCTCATTTGTTGCACGTATGCTCATACTTGGCTATGTGCAACAAATTTTATTATGAATTTTTGTTTCTTATTTGTTGCACATAGGCAAGTATGAGCATACTCCAATAAGTGCACATTGGGGGTTAAAATATACCATTATACCCACTTCAAAATGCTATCTTGAGTAAGCTAAGGGAAGCTACTGAGCAACTAGCTCAAAAAAATGATCATTGAAACTAATGAAATATAACTTTATATTCAGCACCTAAATGGGGAATACTGTTCTGTTCCTGACTCAGACCTCTCCCCTTTCCTGTCACTGGTTTACTTGGGCTCGAGGGTAAGGTGGCCCTCAGCTGAACCCAGAGTCACTCGGGACCCCCTACCAGGTGGCATTGTTGGTTGTTTCTGGAAATTTTGTTTGATCATTCATTTGCCAAACATTTCAAGGGAGGTTGAGTGTTTTGTGACTACAGTACAGTACTGTACTTTATTTTTTATACGGTGATTCACCTTATTTGTGAGATGAACTGTGATTCCTGTATGCCTTCTGTCCGGAGTGAGTGAGCAAGATGGTTTGAAAAGGAACTTGGCCCCTGTGGGTTGATATAGTTATGGAATCTGGCATATCCATAATGTTCTAAATGGGCCAGTGACATAAACTCAGGGAAGTTACTGAGTGCTTCACAGAAAGTTTTTTTTTATATTCAATTAATTTTTAGACTTAAGATGTGTTGCAGTGACATCATTACCTGCACTAATTCTGTACATTACTGTTAAAAATAATTGAAAGTATTTCATATTCCTCCAGTCATCAAATTAAAGTAATATAATGTTTAAGCAATTGCATATCATTTAAATTAAAATAATTTTGCTTCTAATAATTTTTCTTAACAGGTTGTTATGTATTGTGAACATGACCGACAGTCACCTGACTTTGTTGTTGCTAAGCGTGGCAGCCAAACTGGCCGTGTTCCTGGAGCCTATCTTGAGCCCTTGGATGACTGAGGGCTAATAAATGTCAAACTTTGTTAATTACAGTATTTTAATGGTGCAAATGCCACTTCTCAAATATATTCACTTGGATTCCTGATATGACTTCCTTTCATCTGCTTGTTGTTTCATATTAATATCTTGAATGCACTGTAAGTAAATCTATTTATCAGTGTACTTCCTGAGCTATTTAATACAGCAGTGTAATGCTTTAGACACTGAAAGATGGTGCTTGGTCTGAAAGACTAGTACATTAATGCCTTTCATAACATACAGTATATATACAATTACCATTGGTAATAATGAATAGAAGTTGGTGCAATTTGATAATGTTAATTTCTTATGTGTGTTGAGTATTACTCTATTTTTTTACATTTTAATGAATATGCAGTTGAATCTCTCCTGCATTGGCTAGACATGTTATACAAAAAGTAAATTTTTTGTAAGTTGTTAAATATGAACAATAGATTCACAGATTCAGTATTTAACCCTGTACTAGATGATAGTATAAAACAATTAATAGAACAATTATTAGTTTTATCTTTTCAGCATTAGCAGCTTGTAATCTGTAGTGTAATCTCTTCCTTATTGGCAATTGTCCTACTCAAGTAGGGAAAACCCTTGGTTTCCAATTTTTTTTGTGCAGAATCTTACATAGTGTTTTAAAATCTTCTTTTTACCTTGCCATTAACCTGTTTTTTACTAGTGTTTTCTAGCAAGTGCCTAGTTTATTACCAGAGATGGTAACAGTATTACCATCTTTGTGTCTTCATTTAGACTTTAGCAAGTGTTACCTTGTCATAGCTATTTCGTCTGATTATTTAAGACTCCAGTAACTATGAAACATAATTTATCTTTTAGATAAATGCAAACTGTAAAGAAAACTTGTGGCATTCTTCATTATGTAACATTAATATGAAATTATTTAGTTGATATATAGTACTTTATGTGTGAATTAGTAATATATTATAAGCTAATCTTTTCTAAACAGTTAGAAGCTATCAAACAAGCAATTGTGCCTTTTTGTTATGGTTGATGCATGGTAGTTATATATACAAAGATGATACATGATGCATTGTTTGTATCAGCTGTGTACTTATATATGAACTGGTGTGTACAATTAGTTATACAGTATTTTACAAACGTTTACTCATAATGTATCTTCACTTTTCAAGTACTTCTGACGACTACTTTTAGGCTTTGGATAGGCCAACCTTGAATGACTGTACCGCACAATGTGTTTTTTCAGCTAATCCAACAAATCTTGATTAAATTTGATCATGTCAGCTGGCTAGATATTTATAAATTGGACATCATGAAAATGTGTGATTTTTTCTGTCTTAAAATCATGAAACTTCATATTATATTTAGGAATTGTGTTGTGATTGTTTCATTTAGATGCTTCAAATCAAGATATTTAATAGCAGTTCATCTTCTTACATGTGGCTGTCTTTCCATAGTACATTATATATATATATATATATATATATATATATATATATATATATATATATATATATATATATATATATATATATATATATATATATATATATATATATATACACACACACACACACACACACACACACACACACACACACACACATACATACATACATACAGTACAACCTCAATTCAACGTACTATATGGGACCGACCCCAGTTCGTTGGAGCGTTGGATTCGTTGCAAGAGGTGACCTTCAGGAGGCGTTTGCATCAGTGTCTATTTTTCTTGTAGACAATAAAAATGCATTATCATATTATATACTGTACCTATATATTATTACTCTACTAACAAATACTGTGTTACATTTGTTATTTACCTTATTGTTGGAGTTAAGTCCATCTTGAAGTCTCATGGAGTTGTTAATGCTGTACAGTAAATACATACTGTAGTGTATTATGCCATTAACACTGTGTTGAGTAGTTCTGCTGTATGTTGAGTACTACAATAAAGTTTATGAAAACTATTGTACACTAAAATTACTGCAACTTTAATTTTAACACTATATTTCGATTTATCTAGAGGCTGGAGTGTTCATTCCGTGACTTTGTTGGACATATCTACACAATCAAGGAACATCCGTGCACCATGTCGGCTCCAAATGCACTCGTTGTGTCAGTGATGGCTGACTGGTGGGTGGATGGGCAGGCAGGGAGGGAGGGAGGGAGGAAGGGAGGATGTGGGGTTTTTGGGGTAGTCAGGAACGGATTAATTCATTTCCCATTATTTCTTATGGGGAAATTAGCTTCGGACTATGAGCCGTCTCCAGGAACGAATTAAACTCTTAAACTGAGGTACCCCTATATGTGTGTGTGTGTGTGTGTGTGAGAAAAAAAAAAAAATATATATATATATATATATATATATATATATATATATATATATATATATATATATATATATATATATATATATATATATATATATATATATATACATACATACATAGGGTGAGTGAGTCTCATCACACTGAAGAGGGGTTTTCTTACTCCCTTCCCTGTATGAGTATGATTTGAGTTTGGCTTCTACCCGGGTGTGGTTCCTGGATCCCTTGGGTTCCTCGGTCTTGTCCTTCCAGAGGTTTTTTGTCTCGTATCTCCCCGCCGGAGGTTTGGGACGCTTTTGCTGCGTACCTCGTGCGAGACCCGGATCCCTCCTCCATGGTGGATCCGTCCTTACTTGTGTTTGGTTCTTCTTCCCTATATTGGGTGCATTTGGAGGTTCCAGTCTTCCTAGCTGGTAAACTGCCCTTTCTTTTCGTTGGGGGCGTGGCACGAGTTCTGTCGGTCCCACATGCTTGAGTGGTGAGAAACATCTACTGTTCTGCATGTTTACCTGCGGGGGTGGAGGGGGGGCGAGTTTGAACGCCTTGATGCATGCTTGTTTGCCGCGGTGCTTTCTCGGGATGCTGGCCATGGGCAGCTGCAGGTTCCTACCCTATTGGCGTCCTTGGGTGCTGAGGATTTACGGACCCCATGGGCATTTGGCTTCGGTCTTGGGCTTCCTTTCCCTTGTCGAGCTGTCTTCGTCCTGCCTTAAGAATGTGGAGGCGTTGAGTGCTGGGCCTAAAGTCTGGTGTGCTGTCCTCGGCGGCTCGGGCGTCGGCCGCACTGTTGTAGCTGTGTGTGCCTGAAGGAGGCGGTGTGTGTGTGTTCTTTGTTTTCTGAGGTTGGAAGAAAACGTGCTCAGATTGGGGACTTGTTTATTTTATAATGGTAAATAATAAATTAATATATAATAAATTAATAAATAATAAATTAATAAAATAATTATTAAATAATAAATAATAATAATAACAAATAGTATAATGATAAGCAATTATTTTTAATGAATCAAATAGCTAATTAGGATGAATGATAAATAATTATTGACTAGTGCATAACAATAAAGTATTAAGGAATAATTATAATGAATAATCCTTAATGATAAAGTAGAAATCAATTACAATTAATAACTACATCCATAGGTAGTAAATGAAAGTTGCATTAATTTAATTACACTAATTACAATTCATGGGAATATTTCTTAGCTATCTGCAGGCTTATCACTTTGGGGGTTCTGGCGGAGCACCCCCAAAGATACAGCAAATGCTTAGCATGCTAGAGCAAGTGCCCCTTGAGCACGTCTGTGGGCCGTCCCTTTCAAAATTAAAACAGAGGATGCAGAGGATCCCGGGAGGAGGGTGGGCGTTATGTAAGAGCAGCTGCTGGCTTGGGAAGAGGGGCCACGCAGTCTCCGTCCAGGTTTATATAACCTCGGCTCGTTGCGCGCGCAGCTTGGGGCGGTTAAAGTCAGCTTCCAGACATACGTTCTCTTCCACTCAGAAAACCCACCGTTTTTGGGAAAACAGTGTTCTTTTCTCACCTCGCATGGTGTTAACATAAAAGTCGTAATAAAAGTTTTAAATTATGATTTTTTATAACGAAAATATGGAATTTAGTGAAAACGGCGATTGGTAAGATTTTGCCCAAAATGACCTGCAGTTTTCAAAATACAATGCCTATCGGAAATATGACTTGAGCATTATTTTTTAGCCAAATTCTGGCTCATAGCACATATTTGGAGTTTTAAATTACGACTTTTTATACCGAAAATATGCAAATTTTCAGTGCAGAGTACAAATATGCACAGTACAGTGAAAACAGTGATTGGTCAGATTTAGCCCAAATTGATACGCAGTTTTCAAAATACAATGTCTATCGGAAATATAACGCTTGAGCATTATTTCTGAGCAGAATTCAGGGCGATTGCACGCATTTGGAGTTTTAAATTGCGACTTTTTATACCGAAAATATGCAAATTAGTGAAAACGGCGATGGGTCTGATTTTGCCCAAACCAGACAGTAGGCCAGCCAATAAGCTCTTATCCAACCCATTCTTCTCTTTAGATAGTACCTATTGTCACAGTTGTATCCAGACCACGGTTGTGTGCGGTCGCTATAGGTTGGCGCTCTTGGCGTCCGCTGATTGGTGGGAGGTGGAGTATTGCTCCACACTCTTCGTTTTTGCACGTGGTGGTACAGGAAATTGTGCATTTGTTCTCGATTATTGACAGCGTCGAAGAAATGGCTGAGGGGGTATGCCTAAGTGGTAGTGAGGAGGACAGACAAGATGATAACAGACCGTTTGAAGTAGTAGTGAACAGAAAGAAACGGAGAAATAATAACAGACAGCGAGACAGTGAGAGTGACGATGAGATTACAAAGAGACCAAAGAATAAGACCCTACTCAGCAAGACTCAAGACAAGCAATTTACTAGAGGCTGTTGTTCCCTACAACATGCCAATTGAATTTCCACCAAAAGCTAGAGTGGACGGTACGTCTAGCTAAACAATGTTTGGAATACGAACCACTTTTCAAGGAGGATCTTCACCGGCCCTACATAACAGTTGAGACTGAACAGGCCGTGGAACGCCTCACGACGGTTGGTTTTGAAAATGTAGTGATGGTTCCTCCAGAAGAAGGTATGTTGCACACAAAGATCATAGTTTTCAAGTTTCCAACTTATTTGGATCCTGACTGTCTTCTTAACAATGATAATCAAAAATCAAAAAATCAAAATCAAAATGTTTATTTAGGTAAGGTACATACATAAAAGAGATTTTACAAAGAGTGATGGATTTCTAGATAGGGCTAGTACATACAATGCCTAAAGCCACTATTACTCAAAGCGTTTCGGGCATAAAAACTTAAATGACTAAAGCTTAATACTAATTGAGCATAAAGAGTAAAATGAAACATGGAATGAAAACATGGCTGAAAAAGCAGCACAAATACAGTTCTGTCGACAAACAGCGCTCTTTAGAAAAAAACAGACATTGGATGACATTAGAGGGGTAAGGTAGGATACAGGGAATTTATTAGGTATAGCTTCGTTTTTGTCTTAAACTGGTTGAGAGAGATACAGTCTTTAACATGGTTGGGAAGGTCATTCCACAATCTGGGTCCCTTGATTTGTAGAGCATTTCTAGTTTGATTAAGTCGTACTCTAGGAATATCAAAACTGTATTTGTTTCTGGTGTGGTGCTCATGGGTTCTGTTACAACCTCCTATGAAGCTTTTGAGGTCAGGATTGGCATTACAGTTTAGCGTTTTATATATGTATAATACACATGAGAGAATGTGCAGTGACTTAATGTCTAACATTCAGAGATTTGAGTAGGGGTACCGAGTGATGTCTGGGGCCAGAGTTGGATATTGTCCTAATAGCAGCTTTGTGTTGAGTAATTAGAGGACGTAAATAATTTTGGGTAGTAGAACCCCAAGCACAAATACCATAGTTGAGATATGGATAGACGAGGGAGTAATAGAGAGTCACCAGGGCAGGGCGGGGTACATAATATCTGATCTTAGAAAGAATGCCAACAGTTTTTGAAACTTTTTTTGATATATTTAGAATGTGTCCCTGGAAATTCAGCTTGTGGTCAATGAGAATGCCAAGGAATTTGCTATCTAATTTGTTACAAATTAGGGTATTGTTTATTTTGAGATTTATTTGATTAGAGGATTTATTGCCAAACAGAATATAGAAAGTTTTGTCAATGTTAAGGGTGAGTTTGTTGGCAGTTAGCCAAAGATGGACTTTATTTAGCTCAGTATTTACTGTGGCATTTAGAGCAAGGGGGTCAGGACTGGAGTAAATGAAGGTTGTGTCGTCAGCAAATAGAATTGGTTTGAGGTGTTGGGAGGCATTTGGAAGGTCATTAATGTAGATGAGAAAGAGGAGAGGGCCAAGTATGCTGCCCTGAGGAACACCAATGTTGATGGGTAGGGTGGGAGAAATTGAATTATTCACAGAAACATACTGGAGCCTGTCAGTAAGGTAGGATTTGAGGTATTGCAGGGAGTGTCCTCTGACTCCATAATGATGAAGTTTAATAAGAAGGTTTTGGTGGTTGACAGTGTCAAAAGCTTTACGCAGGTCCACAAATAACCCAATAATAATGTTGTCTGGGCAAAGAGGAACAGTGTTCGTGGTGACAAACAAAGCCAGGTTGTTGCCTTGGTAAAGGGTGAGGCGCCGGAGAAAATTTTTGTGCAAGGACTAGGCGGAACGTTGCAAAATACGTTGAGGAGCCCATACTGTGCATGAAGTGTTCACGTTGGGGACATATGGCATGGAAATGCCAGTTTGACCCCAGGTGTCGGTATTGTGGGAAAAAACACGACTCGCAAGAGTGTAGAGTCAAGATTGAAAGAAGTGAAAAAATCATCCCATTTTGTTGCAACTGTCGAGGCAGCCACAACGCTGGTTCCTCTCTATGCCCCATGAAGCCTCATCTGAAAGAGACTAGAACGGGTCCTACAAGCAGGATAGATGTATCCTCGCAGCAAGGAAAGATTGTGCAAGAGGAACATGGAGGAAACAGTTGGAAGCCAACGGCAGCCCCTATGATCAATGTGTGGGAAAAAGGGACGGAGAAAGTATAGGCGAGCTTAGGGAAAGTACATCATGCAGTGGAAAAACTGAAACCTTGTGACGACAAGGTTCAGGACAATATGGTCACCTCTGAGGTTGGTAATCAAATTTTGGAGTATCTAAAAAAACTAGATAAGAGGATTGAGGCATTGGAAAAATTGGCTATGGAAGGTGGACGGGGTGAAGATGGGGTGAAACAGGACGTGTAATTGAAAGTAAACGGGACGTGAAATGGAAAGTGAAACGTGCGTAGAAGAAAGTAATGATGTGCATGAGGTAACGATGATAGAGGATAGTCAGGAGAATACACTTTCTAGTAGTGTTCGCGGTGTTCAACCTCCTGTTGTGACAAATGGTGAAAGAACGGTTAAAGTAAAACGGGTTACAGAAATAACAAAGAAAATAGATATGAAAAATATTACCTTCGATTTTAGTAGTAGTTGTGAAGGTGAGGAGAAAGAAAAAAATGCTACGGTGTTGGAAGGAAGTTTCTAAGGTACTCTCGTATCTCATGGAATGTGACGGACAGGGCAAAGGTAGTTTTATTATTAATCATGGATGAAAGTAAATTGAGAATATTATCTTGGATACGAGGTCCTGTGTAGTGCCACTCGGTCAGGGAGGGGCCCATCGAACTTTACATGTGCGGACCATGGATGTCGGCCCTGCTGCTCCGCGAATCCTGGTAACTTCCAATAATCCCACTGATGCACCCCCTAATACTTGCAGAGCGACCTGGATGTCATCCACATCAACACTCTGGTCAATTGGGCCAATCTTCCCATACCGGGCCCGAGACTCCTCCTCCTGCGACAATACCTGTCGGCACCTGACAGGCCAGTCCCCCAACTTAATAATGTCGGATACACAGATGTGTGATAGAGCTTCCTTTCTGATGTGTAGCTTCAGTGCTGCACCCCTACCCAGGGTACGTATGGTCTCAGGCAGGCAATGTGGCCACAATACCGAAGCCTCAATTGCTGCACCTAATTATAAGGTACGAGGATTTGCAAACACGCGCTGATCTGATTCTGACTGGATTAGGACAACCACAAACGAGGAATGGGGTACCACAAAACTAAAGTCTTCTGAAGGCGAAGACATACTCTTAGCATCTCGCTCTGGGGCAGCATCAGTCGACTCATTTTCCATCATACGTTTTCCTCTCTGGGACTTGCTGCCAACATCCATGGTATCCCCGCTCGGGGAGGCGTCCATTAGGGAGGCTCCGGCCTCCCCAGGTGCTGTGAGCCCCTTGGCTAGCTGCAGTGAACACACACTGGCCTAAAGAAGCCAGCTGAATTCAAAGATAAGCTCCAGGTAAGGTGTGGAAAGAAAGTCCAGCCAGGAGCGTTCAATCCGCGCGCCAAGATGGCCGAGCTTCGGGCGGGAATCCACACAAGATGATTACGTGTTAAAACATTGTTTACATCATGTGCTGTATAATACCTGCAATTTCGATCATTAAAGTGATGATTGTCATAGATACTAGATAGGAGGTTTAGTTCTGGGTCTATACTAGTTTGTATAAGGGGCTGTTTGATGGAAAGAAAGGCAAAATTTGATGGAAAGAAAGGCAAAAAAGACAATTACAAAAATAGATCTATAATAAAAAAAACTATACAAAAAAATGAGGTAGATTGCTAAATTTAAGGTACTCTCAGGCACAAAGATCTAGATATATAAAAAAAACAAAACTATACAAAAAATGAGGTAGATTGCTTTCAGGTACTCTAAGGTACACTAAAACAAAATTAATTGCACTTGGAGGCACATCAAAGCCACGGGTACATTGGAGTACATTAGTACATATGGGGAACATTATTATTATTATTATGTTTATTATTATGTTTATTATTATAATTATTATTATTATTATTAATTATAATTATTATTATTATTATTATTATTATTATTATTATTATTATTATTATTATTATTAAGGCTGATGACCGGCACGTTTTATTAGTAATAGTAGTAGTATTATTCTTGCATTCGAGGGTAAAGGAGAAGATGGAGCCTCAATAATCCTAGTAGTTATCCTTGATAATGTGAAACTAAAAATCTTCGCCATTTCTAAAAGTTATAGCCATTAAGGCAGATGACCGGCACGTTTTCTGTGGTGTCGACCTGACCACGGTGGACAACGGCCCTCGACCCGCACATGTCAACAGCTGATTTTGGCAGGTGTGTTGGAGCAGCGTGCAGGTGTATAAGGGGTAGCCTGCAGGTATGTTGGGGGTAATCTATCGATGTGTTGGGGCAGCGTGCTGGTGTGTTAGGGTTAGTCTGCAGGTGTGTTAGGGGTAGTTTGCAAGTGTGTTGGAGGCAGCGTGCAGGTGTGTTGGGGCTGGGTGCAGGTGTGTAATGTTCCGTAAAAATAATGTAGGTATTGTGACGTGAGATATACAGGTGTAATGTGAGGTTAGTATAACTAATCTTAGAAGAGTCTGCTTGGGTGAGGGGTCAGTACAGGTGTGATATCCGAGCTGGTGGAGAGCTTTACATGTATGTAGACCAACCTATTCTGAATAAGCTAACTGCTTAATTCCTGTTATTGGGGATACAGGTTTATAGAGGTTTCCCCCTAGACTAACTACTGACCTTGCATAGAATACAACCCCAACAATTAAAACAATAAGCCACAACAATTGTCTAACTCCCGGGTACATATTTACTGCTGGAAAAACAGTGGCAACAGGGGAAAGGAAATGTGCTCGACCATTTCTATCCTTTCCCGGGGGATTAAACCCGGGTTCCTGGATTGTGAGTTGAGGGTGTAGCCAACTGTGCTGCAAGGCCTCTATATAACTATATACAACTCATAAATAATTTCCTTACTGAACAGTTACAAAACCAAATGCAAACTAGCAAACATAATCTGACGCATCCAGAAAATCTGGACATAATTGGCCAATTGAAAAAAGTGAGTGTCCTGATAACGTTGAAAAAAAATATTAATGTACTGTGCATGTAATTTCGGCTACATTATCCTATCATAATAGATATATCCTAAGTAAAGTAACTAATTCATAGTGCCACTGTATCCATGAATACTATTTCACATATTTCAAATATAGTTCACATATACTATATGTGAACTCTATAGGCCTAAAGCTACTGTGTTAGGCAAAATGCATTTTTGTTATATTTCCATGTCTGAGAAGTACAGTGCTTTTAAGTCAGGTTAGTCTTCATTTTGTTTAATATAGCCGTTAGCTGGTCACTGCTGCTATTTATTGTCTCAAGCATATAACTAAATTTTCAGTGTTTAACTTGCATTGTAATTATGGAGTTTTTTTTACAAAGAGTTGCCATATCTATCATCAGTAGCCTAACAAAATGTAAACTTAACCTAACATCAGTTGCCTAACAATATCTAAATTGAACAGCAGCGTGCCTGAAACACTCTGCATATTAGTGGCTTTAAGCATAATATGTCCTAGCTCTATATAGAAATCCAACATTGTAACTCTCTTTGAATGTATGTACCTTTACCTGAATAAACATTATCTTATCTATCTTATCAGTAGCCTAACATGATCTAAACCTAATCTAACATCAGTAGCCTAACATGATCTAAACCTAATCTAACATCAGTAGCTTAACATGATCTAAACCTAACCTAACATCAGTAGCCTAACATGATCTAAACGTAACCTAACATCAGTAGCCTAACATGATCTAAACCTAACCTAACATCAGTAGCCTAACATGATCTAAACCTAACCTAACATCAGTAGCTTAACATGATCTAAACCTAACCTAACATCAGTAGCCTAACATGATCTAAACCTAACCTAACATCAGTAGCCTAACATGATCTAAACCTAACCTAACATCAGTAGCCTAACATGATTTAAACCTAACCTAACATCAGTAGCCTTACATGATCTAAACCTAACCTAACATCAGTAGCCTAACATGATCTAAAATTAACATAACATCAGTAGCCTAACATGATTTAAAATTAACCTAACATCAGTAGCCTAACAATATCTAAATCTAACATCAGCAGCCTAACAAGAGATAAGCCTAACCTAACATTAATAGCCTAACAAGAGGTAAACCTAACCTAACATCAATAGCCTAACAATATCTAAACCTTACTCTCTAATCCTAACATCAGTAGCCTAACAATATCTAAACCTAACATCAGTAGCCTAACAATATCTAAACCTAACATCAGTAGCCTAACAATATCTAAACCTAACATCAGTAGCCTAACAATATCTAAACCTAACATCTGTAGCCTAATAATATCTAACCCTAACATCAGTAGCCTAACAATATCTAAACCTAACATCAGTAGCCTAACAATATCTAAACCTAACATCAGTAGCCTAATAATATCTAACCCTAACATCAGTAGCCTAACAATATCTAAACCTAACATCAGTAGCCTAACAATATCTAAACCTAACATCAGTAGCCTAATAATATCTAACCCTAACATCAGTAGCCTAACAATATCTAAACTAAACCAAATGTAGCCTCATCTGACTACAACTGCAAAACAGATAATGTTGACAACATATTTGACAACATACAAGTATTTTAATCAGTGTAGTGAGATGTTTTACCGATACCTGACAAACACTGAGTTTTCTCTGTTATGTTTCTGGCAGAGATGGTATGCATATACCATGTTTGAGTTTACCTATCTTGAGGTTATCTTGAGATGATTTCGGGGTTTAGCGTCCCTGCGGCCCGGTCCTCGACCAGGCCTCCTTTTTGTTACACATCCTTAGGAAGCAGCCCGTAGCAGCTGTCTAACTCCCAGGTACCTATTTACTGCTATGTGAACAGAGCATCAGGGTGAAAAAAACTGCCCGTTTGTTTGCGCCTCCACTGGGGATCGAATCCAGAACCTCAATACTATGAATCTGAAGCGCTATCCACTCAGCTATCAGGTCCCTAAACATGTTAGCCCCTAGTTACATGGCAGATTTTTTTTAAACCAGTATTTTACAATACTTGTAATTAATTATAAAGCAATATTTTTGTTCCTTTCCTCCTGCCACTTTGGGAGATGAAGGACTGAACAAGAGGTTGAGCACCATTCCTCTCCCTCATTCCCTCCCAAATCCTTAACCTGATCCCCTTCCAAGTGCTATGTAGTAATAATGGCTTGGGGCTTTCTCCAGATAATTCCCTTCCCATCCCCCATTCCCCCCACCCTCTTGCGAAAACCATAGGGAAAGTGGTACCCTATTTATGATAGGTAATCTTGGGTAGCTGGCTGGCAGCTGACCCAGTAGCGAATGCAATTTTAGTGACTATATTATGCACCCTTCTGCTGTGATCCCCAGGGCTATGGCGGTCTGCCTGTTGTCCGTACACTTAAGCCATGCTGTCGTTTATAAATGGAGTAGGTCCAAGTTACGAAAAATAATGTATACAGTAGAGTACTGTATGTGATGTGTGTTTGTCAATAATGGTGGCTGCTCCATATTGTATATACTGTATATGACTTGTACATAAATGATTTAACTGAATACAGTACTGCATAACCAAACTTTGCCTTACCTTACCAAATGACCTTTAATTAACCTAACCACCTATAAAATCATAAACTAAAATAATGTTGCCTAACTTAAGTGTGGCACATGCCCTACAGACAGAACTCTACAGCTTGTGCTCAGATATTCATACTTGCTTGGTACTTGCAGAAATCAAAATGTTCGACTCATCAGACTCGGATGATGAGTCGAGTCAGGCTTCGGTACAAACACTTAAAGTAGACTGGTAAGTCAAGTTTTTAATAATGTAATTATTAAATTAACAAATTTAATTATTAATGAATTAATATCCTGTATTATCTGTTGTACTGTAGTTCTTGTTCTACCTGCCTGTGACATTATTGTCTTTGTTTCATATGTTTTTGCAGGAATGTTACCAAGAGATGGAGTATGGATAGGGTAATACAATAGTTTGAGCTTCAGATGCAGTCGAATACAGTAATAAGCTTGGCTCTATATTTCGGTAAAAAGACTCTCTCTCTCCACTGGAAACATCATACTATCATGCACACTCCTCACATGGCTTAATGTTTTTCTTCTAGCCATTTGTGCTTTTCTTTTTCTCTCTTCTGATCTGTTTAGTAAAATCTCTCAAATCCAAACTGCAGTGCCTAAATTCTTCAAAAAGTAAACAAAAATTTAAAACCAAACCATAAATTTCTTTCAAGTAGTAGTAGTAGTAATAAGAAGTAATGGTAATGTCTTCTCATAGACATAATAACATAGGATAAAAACCCACACTTGTGTAATTTTTAAATTTTATGTAAGGAATTTACAGTCTTTCGCATAAAATAGAAAAGCTATACAGTGCAATATTACAGGAAATGACAGCATTCTCTGCATTATTTATATCTTACAAGCTTTTGTGACGGATCTATTTGCAGATAACGCTCGGCTACTCTAGTATTACACAGTTATGTATCCAAATGGCATAATACACAATGAGCTTATATCTAAATAGTGCAGTAGCCATATTGATACTAGTATCAATGAACACATTGAATTATTATTATAGTAATTATTATCTTGTGTGCTTCGATGAATGTAACAAGACTCTCCTCAGTTTAGCATTGTAGGCACTTGAACATATCCACAAGGGCTGAGACGAGAATCCTCGTCATGGCCCTTGTGGATTTGTTCATTTGATGCATCACGCAATTGGGATTTGTGTGTATTATAAGCACTTGTAAAATAATAATAGTCATTATTTCATTCATATTTTAAAAATAATAAATATATGTACAGTATTTAATACTGTATTTCTGATATTGAATAGTCTAATCTAAATTTTGGTATATGCGGTGCATGATGCTGTTTTTCTTATATTGGTTGAATAGCCTAATTTAAATTTTGATCTTGCAGGTTAGATATGTCGTTTATGGGGTGTCCACAGAGTGTTGCACTCAGTGGTCTCCCTGGCTGTCGTTTTAGGAACGTATATCAAAATCTCCACATGGACTTGAGTAAGTTTTGTAAATCATATTGATGAGTAAAGGTTGATAATAATAATACAACCCATCCTCCTGTTTAGATAGTATTTTTTGTAACTATGTGCACCATAATAAAAATAGCATACTAAGTTTTCCTCGAACTCATTAGACTCTGTGTTGACTCTTAACTCTCTTTCTTTCAACAGTAGATATTACACTCAAACTTTCGGTGTCACTATGGGTTCCCCTCTCTCCCCTGTTCTTGCCAATTTCTACATGGAATACTTTGAAACTGTTCTTCTTGCTTCTATTGATGCTCGTCCCTCTCTCTGGCTTCGCTATGTTGATGACATTTTTGCCCTATGGCCTCATGGCCTTTGTCTTTTCCAGCCTTTCCTCTCCTCTCTTAACAATCTGGCTCCTTCTATCAATTTCAAAGTTGAATGGGAATCTAATTCCCTCCTTCCTTTTCTTGATGTTCACAGCTCTGTGTCCGGGTTCTCTTTCTCTGTCTACCGCAAACCCATGCATAATGGCATGTACATTCACTTCTTTTCCTACCATCCTCCTTCAGTTAAGAAAAGTGTCTTCGTCTCTCTCTTCCTCCGCACTCTACGCATCAGCGACCCTCAGTTCCTTGATTCTGGAATTGCCTTTATCCACAAATCATTCTCTTGCCTTGGTTACCCCTTGCATTTTATCAACTGTGCCTATTCTCAAGCTAAATAAAATTTCTTTCATCCTAAACCTGCTTCCAACACTAGTAGCACTGTACTCTGCCTCCCCCTTCATATCTGAACTCAAAACTTCTACTAAACTTTTCGTCCTCTTGACATAAAGCTCGCCTATCGACAAACTAACACACTTCGTAGCAATCTAGTTCACACTGCTCCTCCTTCTTCTAATGCTGCTGGTGTCTACTCTATTTCCTGTTCGTCTTGTCCTCTCCACTACTTTGGCGAAACTGGCCGTACGCTTAATGACAGACTTAAAGAACACAAAAGAAGTGTTAAGTCTGCAGACAAACAATGCTCTCTTCTGTCATGTTAGGGATTCTAATTATCCTATTGATTGGTATTCCTCAAATAATCTTTCCTGCATCTACTCTATACAGACACCATCTCGTTGAATTGGCTCTAATACACAACCTACCCAACATGAATTTGAGTCCTGGCTTTGTTGCTTTTGACTCTTCCCTTTCACAGTATATACTTAAATGCTCAAAACTTGTTCACAATGTTCCTTGTGCCTCTCTGAGGGGGGGCCAAGTTCTGGTGCTGGTCCCGGTATGCTTAGAACTCCATCGATTGACTGTTGCCACGATCTAATATATACACATTAGCCCAGTATAGCTCTGGGGAACCTCTGGGGTCTCACCCAGAAAATGGCATTTCATTACATTCAATGCTGGTTTTTTGTGGGTATGCACCGGCAGCCATCCACATTTTGCCTTCATGTAGTCTCAGTGGCTTTGCCTATGGAGAGCAGTTTCTGGTGTGTGCAGCATATTTGCTCCTCGTGCCTCTCTGAGGGGCCCAAAGGCCACATTCATGAAGCAGTTACACAAGTACTTAAGAATGTGTACATCTTTCCTCAATCTTTGACTGCTTTGGTTACATTTATTAAACAGTTTACAAGCATGAAAACTTCCCGATCAACTCTTGCTATTGTTATAAACAGCCTCCTTGCTTCGGAGCTTATTAACTGTTTAATAACTGTAAACATAGCCGCCAAAGATTGAGAAAAGATGTACAGGTTCGTAAGTGCTTGTGTAACTGCTTCGTGAATCTGGCCCCAGGTTCTCGCTCGTAGTCCCTGGTAGGCAAGAAATCCATGCACTTTGATGCCAGAAAGCTAATAGATACATATCGGCCTGGATAACTCCGGGGAGCCGACGGGACTCGCCCAGAAAATGGCATTTCATTACAATCAACGCTGTTTGTTTTTCTGTTTTTTTCATCTCTGGCCTTCTCTCAATTTTTATGGAACCAGTTTTGTCTTTTCGTTCATCTCTGATTTGGTAGGAATTTTTGGGTACTTGTGTTATAAATGTCAACAATTTTTTGCATATTTCTTATTAACAATGTTGCCTTCCAGCAAACTCTCAATCAAATTCATTGAAGAACTCTCCATGTTTGAACAAATCCACAAGGGCAGTGACAAGAATTCGAACCTACGTCTGAGAGCATCCCAGACGCTGCCTTAATCGACTGAGCTACAACATGGAAGAAAGTTGAAACCAGAAGTTCTACTGAACTTACTTGGATCCTACAGCCTCTGCAAGACACAAACCAGGGTTTTACACCCTGGTTTGTTAGACCAGTAAGTTCAGTAGAACTTCTGGTTTCAATTCTTTTTTTCCATGTCGATTAAGGCAGCATCTGGGATGCTCTCGGACGTAGGTTCGAATCCTCGTCACGGCCCTTGTGGATTTGTTCATTTGATGCATCACGCTATTGTGATCATGTTTATTGTCTATTATGATATATATATATAAGGGCCTCTCTCATAACAAATTTTTGTTGTTCTACTCTCGTGTTTGTGTGTTATTTGATGATGTGCTGAAGGCATTTGTGATCAAGTCTGTATTTATTTATCTAGTTCTGGATCTTCAGTGCAATAATGTCAGCATCTCAGGGGTTATTGAGTATTAATTCTCTTATGTTTAAGCATTCTTTCATCCACACATTGTCACTTTACCTGAAAGAGAACTATACCCTAGATGTGAAGACTTAAACGTATGATAATGAGAACGATACCTATTTGTAAACCATATGCCTTCGTTTTTTCAGATAAGATAGAAAATTTGAGAATTTCGGATGTCATAATGCTCGTCACGAAAGGAGAATTGCGAAAATACAGAGTGCCTAATTTAATGGGCGAGTATGAGATGCGAGGTATACGTCTCCACCACTATCCGTTCCCTGATGGCACAGTCCCCTCGGTTGATAATGTTATGAGAATTATTGATACAATTCGACAAGCATTAGATGAAAATCGAAAGGTTCTCATCCAGTAAGTGTGCATGATGATTATACAGTACTGTATTGTATATGTACAAGATTCAGTTTTATACTAATATTGTGGTGAGGAGCTTAATCCTATTGGGTACCCATTTTGTGTGTCAAACTGACCAATAAAAACTTAAAATTTATATCAGTCTGTATTGTAATCTTGTATTTTCACATTTCAGCTGCATGGGTGGGTTGGGGCGTGCTTGCGTTATAGCCTCATGTCTACTGCAGTACTTTGAGAACTCGTTTACTCCAGACCAAACCATTTTCCTTTTGAGAGACCTCAGAGGTGCACGAGCAATACAGACAGTGAAGGTTAGTCATGCATCTTACGAAAACTTCATTTAATGTACAGTGGAACCTTGGTTTTCATATGCCCGTTTTTTAATTTTTCAGTACTCGAGCTCAATTTTTTTTTTAAATTTGTTTCGGTACTTGTTGTTTGCCTCGGTGTTCGGAGTTTGTTTATACACGTACGGGTCCACCAAGTGTGTGGCGTCGCTGCAAGGCGCGCCTCAGTTTACCAGCATCCAGCCAAGTTGACAAATGCACTTGAATTCTTTGTGAAGAATTACATTGTTTTTAGCCCTTTTTTAGTTTTTGAACATAAAAGTTCTTATTAGTATCCACTCGATTTAACGGCCTATATGGGGCTGTTCCGGGGCTCCGGTATTTCCGAAGTTAAGATGTCGGTAATTTTTCAAGTAACATTCAGGTAGGATATATTTTATGCTGCATAACTAAAACTAAATAAAGTTCATTGTGTAATTGCATTCCAAGTTAGTTTCTGTGTTAGTGCCCATTCTATCACAGGTTACAATTAATAATTCCTTCATATGACAAGTTGGATCACACAAGTGGACAAGTGAACCATATTAACCAAACACCTCTCTCACTGCCACTCTTCCCTCACCCTCACCACCACCCTCCCTCCCTTCCCTCCCTCACTGCTTCTATCCCTCCTTGTCTCTTCCCCCTCAATGCCTCCCTCCATCAATCACTGCCTTCCTCACCACCACCTCCACTCTCCCTGCCTCTCCCCCTCAATGCCTCCCTCCATCACTGCCTCTCCTCTCTTCAATGCCTCCCTCCATCAATCACTGCCTCCCTCACCACCACCTCCACTCTCCCTGCCTCTCCCTCTCAATGCCTCCCTCCATCAATCACTGCCTCCCTCACCACCACCTCCACTCTCCCTGCCTCTCCCTCTCAATGCCTCCCTTCATCAATCACTACCTCCCATCCTTTCCTCAATGCCTTAGAGGTCGGTGGCCTGTTGCCATGTGAGGGGGCCCGCCGATGCCAAAACAAACCCAATACCGACCTTTGGTAATATCGACCGCCAGACCGATATATGAGGCTGCAGATACCGGTCTCTCAAACCGGTCATTATTACCGGCAGATCAGTATAAAAGAGGCTGTTAAATTGAGTGGATACTGTATATCACGCCATGGGTTCCAAGAAAGTCAGTGGTAAAGTTCAACCTAAGAAAATAGTTGTGAGGATGACGATAGAGGAAAAACAGAAGATCATTCATAGTGAGACAATGTGATGTCTCACTACAGACAAGTGTTAAAATGTAGGGAAAACAAATGTCTACAGACAGATTCTTAGTAAGACAAGCAAGCAGTGAGCCACAACCAGGTCCTAGTGGTATGCCTCCAAAGAGAGAGAACCTCAGAAATGTCATCACTGCCTGATGTCATAATGGAAGGGGGACTCGCCTTCCAAATACTAACACCTCTTCTCCTTCCCCCCCCCTCCCCCCTCACCATCTTCCATACGCCAACAAGAGTCCTCCATAATGATAAGGTACCTATGAGTAGTGTTCTGTATAAAATGTATTTTTTAGTTAATATTTTTAGGGGTGTGGAACGGATGAATTCAATTTACATTATTTCTTATGGGAAAATTCGTTTCAGTTTTTGCATTTTTGGTTTTCGAACTGTCTCTGGGAACGGATTAAATTCGAAGACAGAGGTACCACTGTATCTGTGATCACTCATTGGATAATTTTATGAAGATTTAATACGAGTATTAAATTAATTACTTTAATTAGTACAGGCAGCCTTTATAGAGGACTCTTGTTGGTGTACGGAAGATGGAAAGGAGGAGGGGGGGGGAGGAGGAAAGGTGTTAGTGTTTGGAAGGGGAGTTCCCTTCCATTATAACATCAGGCAGTGATGACATTTCTGGGGAATTCTCTCGTCTACATTTTGGAGGCATACCACAAGGACCTGTTGTGGCTCACTGCTTGTTTGTCTTACTAAGAATTTCTCTAAAGACACTTGTTTTCCCTACGTTTTAATACTTGTCTGTAGTGAGACATCACATTGTCATTTAACCCTTCAATTGCGCATCGCATCATATGATGCTTTGACCGACTTGCAGTAAATTGCGCATCGCATCATGTGATGCTTTGGAGTACTACGCAAGATTTAAACGGCCCGCGGATACACGGGGTTCACCACACCTTCATCAGGGCTCTTGTAAACAGACGCCATTTTTTAACAAATTCGTGGGCCAAATTCCCGGGTGTGAAGGGCCTCAGTATTGAGTGAGCAACCAAGCCTGACGCACGCAGCATGAGCTCACAGCACTGCTGTTCAGCTTGTGACCACAGCATCGCCTAAAAATGCAATAATATACTTGCTTATGCTATTATGTAGCGATATTATTACAGAAGACCCCTGACTGTGATAAAACTGACCAGGGTTCTGATAATAGCAGGATTGTGGTGATAGCGCTGTGCACCATGGAGGGAGGAGTAATGCTGTGAGAGGGAGGGTAGTGGCGATGTCTTCTGACTGTGTGTGGCCACCTTTTATTGACTGCACTCACCATACCAGCTTAGTGGTTCTCTATGGTGAACACAAAAGTAGATACTTATCTATAACGCGTGTATAGAGGGTATAAACAGCAAGAGTAGGTTGGGAACCGCCATTTTAGTGAGGGAGGTGGCGTCGTCTGCACGATGCCACCGAGCAGACGACGGTGTTGTTTACTGGTTACCACGATGGTCTTTGGTCACCATACCAGTTTACTTGTACAAGTATGGTGAATAAAACAGGTAGATATTTATATATAATGTGTGTATATAGCGTAATAACACCACAAACAGTATTGTTGGAGGAGAAATATTAGTCCGTCTGGCCTTGAGGGCGGCAGCCATCAGCTGACTGTGTGAGGTCCTACGTCTTTATGCCTTTACTCACCATACAAGCTTAGATGTACAGTTATAGTGAACAAAACATGTAAATACTTATATATAACGTCTGTATATAAGAGCAAAAACAGTATTGTGGGAGGAGAATGTGGGTGAGTCAGGTGACTTGAGGGAGGGCGTGAGTGGCTGGCTGGCTGGTACACGGCGGTCACTCCTCGTTACTTTTTGGCTCATAATAGCAACTTAGTGGCTTGTTATGGTGAACAAAACATGCAGATACTTGTATATAACCTGTGTATATAGTGTAATAACCGACAAAGTATTTGTTCACTGATTGATGAACATAATTGAATCAACAATATGCACACCATATTTTTGAGTACAGCAATGATTCACTCATTTTATTATATAAATATATCAAACTACACACTATTGAATAATATTACAGCAAAAAAACTATGAAAAATCAATCAGAGACATTGAAATAATTAGGTACAGTATACAATAATGCTCCCTACAATAATTAGGGAGCCGGTCGGCCGAGCGAGGGAGCCGGTCGGCCGAGCGAGGGAGCCGGTCGGCCGAGCGGACAGCACACTGGACTTGTGATCCTGTGGTCCTGGGTTCGATCCCAGGCGCCGGCGAGAAACAATGGGCAGAGTTTCTTTCACCCTATGCCCCTGTTACCTAGCAGTAAAATAGGTACCTGGGTGTTAGTCAGCTGTCACGGGCTGCTTCCTGGGGGTGGAGGCCTGGTCGAGGACCGGGCCGCGGGGACACTAAAAAGCCCCGAAATCATCTCAAGATAACCTCAAGAGTATCCACTCAATTTAACGGCCTCTTTTATACCGATCTGCCGGTATTAACGACCGGTTTGGGAGACCGGTATCTGGAGCCTGCTATACCGGTCTGCGGTCGATATTACCGACGGTCGGTATTGGGTTTGTTGTGGCATCAGCGTCCCCTCACATGGCGACCAGGCCGCCACCGACCTGGATCATCCAGAGTCATATATTACATCTTAATTTTCTTTTAAAATGATTCACTTTAATGAAGAAAATTGTAAATTATTATTAATAAAATATTTTGAAACAGTTTTTATTAAGCAAAAGTCTTTGTTTTCTTATTAAATACCTTTTATAGTATAGGCACTAGGTATTTTTTTTCCCACGGACCTAGAATGTACTCCGCCGGGCCATGTGTTCCCATTGTTTACAGTACTGTGAACTCGTGCGGCTAGCTTCAATTGTGAAGGATATTACTGTACTGTAATTGTGATCTTCTTTTTAATTTACAAAAATGCCAAAAGTTACCCAAAGAAAGCGCCTGACGGTTGCACAGAAGCTGGAGTTAATTAAGAAACTTGATAAAGGATATTCTCATGAACGAGCAGTAGCAGAGTTTAACATCGGGAAAAGTACAGTAAGTGACATCAAGAAACAGAAGGATACTCTATTAAAATATGCCTGAAAATAAGTGTACATACAGTATGTACCCTACCTTACCTTGAGGCTACCTTGAGGTGCTTCCGGGGCTTAGTGTCCCCGCGGCCCGGTCGTCGACCAGGCCTCCTGGTTGCTTACCCTGTATACAATATAAACAATATAAAACAAGCGCTGCAGAGGATGACGTAATCTTCACAGCTTCGTAATCTTCAGCTTCATTAAAAGTAAGTCAATTTACCAATTTTATTATAGTATTACAAGATATTAATTGTTTTTTTTCAACAAAAGCTACATATTAGTCTCTGCAAATGTATATTCTATCGTCAGCAGAGAATAGGTGAGCTCAAAATATTTCGTCTTGGCTAGCTCTCAGTGACAAGGCTCGATCGCCATTGTTATGGCATGGCCACCACAGCCTGTGTTGTAACATTAAAAATACATTACCTGCACTGTTCAGGGTAAATCAAAACACATCTCTAAAATATTATTGAGAAAATATTAACTTGCTGATTGATACATGAAATATTTTGCAATACAAAGGAATGAATCAATTTTTTCCCACCCATCTGGGCTTGATCAGACCGTGTTCACACATCATCCATGCAGCAGCCAACAACTGGCTTAATCGTCGGTGTGGCACTAAATTGGAATGCAATTACACAATGAACTTTATTTAATTTTAGTTATACAGTATAAAATATAT